ACTAAACATCCCTGAACCCCAAAGTACCCTTAAAAACAAGCAAAAACTACAACTCAACCGAGACCTTCAAACTCATCGCTGCTGAAGCTGGCAGCCTAAGGCGACGGTCTCAAAACGGCGATGGGCCACCATCGCGAGGATGCGGGGCAAGCTAAGGGTTCGAGGGTTTCAGTTCAGAGTTTCAGGTTTTTAGGGTTGCCTGCGAGCGGCTTTGGGTATTAGGGCTTACGCTTCACGGGTATATGTATATGTATATGTATATGTATATGTATGTATGTGTATATATATATATATGTGTGCATATATATATATACATACTTAGGCCATAGGTTGATATTCAAAAACACTCAAGCAGGCGAACAGGACATCTTGCTGCACGCACAGACTGCTGCCAAGACAGGTTTCTTGCTCCGTCTCTGTTCAGTTTACTCTGCTTTCCGCTCGATGCAGGGGGCCTGATTTTAGGGTTTAGGGTTCAGGGTTTAGGGTTTAGGGCACCTGATTCACGCTGCTTTAATCTCCATGGTTTGGGAAGACAGCTGTCAATTGCAAGACGTTGGCCCATCCGCCTCGGTCAGCAGCTGGCGGAGGGTTTAGGGCTTAGGGGCAAGAGGCTTGGGTTGGTCTTGTTCGCACGAGATTCGAGTTTGCTGGCACGCTTTAAGTTTGTCATGGAAGCTCTTTGACTCGAAACGATGAACTCAACCCCACATAATCCCGGCACCCTGAACCCTCCCACAGCTTCAAGAGACAAGCTTCATCTCTCACCTCTCTGGTTGGCAATCACGGTTTAGGGTTTAGGGGTTTAGGGTTTTAGGGTTTAGGGTTTTAGGGTTTTAGGGTTCAGGGTTTTAGGGTTTAGAGTTTAGGGTGTAGGGTTGAAGCCCTGTGATTGGGTTCCGGTGAGGCAGTCTCGCGTTATGAGTTGCTGACTGGTCAACGGTGAATCTGAACCCTACTGTTGATGGACAAAAGTCTGCATGACCCAAATATAGCATAGTACCATAAATCCCATAGCTTAGGGTTCCTAAACCCTAAACCCTAAACCCTAAACCCTAAACCCTAAACCCTAAACCCTACGACCCTTTGGCAAGAGAGCCTCCGATTCCCCGTGAGTCTTTCTCAGGAGCTCATTTGGAACGTCGTCGGGGCAATGCAGCTCATCTTCAGGGGCTTCGGATCTAGGGCTTGGGGTTGAGAGTTGTGGGTTTTGAGGGTCTTAGGGTTTATACCTAAACACCAAATAACTTAGCTTTTTAAGGGTCTATATAAAGAAACCATAATAAGGAGCCCTAAAAAGGTAGGTTCTTTGGGGTCCAGGTAGGGTTTAGATTGGGGTCGCGGCTTAGGGCCGAGCGTTTCTGGTTCTTGGGCTCGCTGGCTTGATGACGTGAACCAAAGGGTCCATATGGGAGTTTCCGAAAATCAGGGGTACCTTATTTTGGGGTCCTTATATTAAGGATCCTATTATTTAGGGTACTATATTAGGGTCCCCTATTTTCGGAAACCTCCATGTATCCTACCATCATGGAATTAGGCACCCAAAAGAGCCATCCCTATTTTGGTTCTGGGGAGCCCAATTCCATAACAAGATCATATCATATCATATCATATCATATATATATATACATATATATATATATATATGTGGACCCTGTTGGAAAAGTTGTTTACCTTGAAAGCCCAGGTACTTAGCCACCATTAACTCTTCCAAGTGCGAAGCGACAACACGAACTACGATGCTACACCCAAGTGCCGAGTTGTTAGGTGTTGCAGGCCTTTAGAATGAATACTTGAAGGATCCGGAATCTCTTCAAATAGGGACGAGACCTTAGCCGACTTGGGGAGTTGAACTGTTTAGGGTCAGGGGTTGACCTATCCAGAAAAAGGGGGACCGTAAACCCTAAACCCTAAACTCCTAAACCCTAAATCGGTTCTTGAGCCGTCACTGCCATAGCCCTGAAACTTTGATTCATCCCTCACATTCTGGAACCTTGGGTCTGTCAACATCATAGAATCCAAGCCGGTAAGGTGTTTCTTCAGTTCAATGAGCTAAAACGACTGAGAGTCTGCCAGCGGCATTTGGGTTCCTCTAAACCCTAAACCCTAAACCCTAAACCCTAAACCCTAAACCCTAAACCCTAAACCCTAAGCAGCAACAATGGCCACCTGTGCCAGGATCGGAGTCCCACTCATTCGTGGCGATACTGCGCGGGTTCCTGGAGTCCCAGTCCAGAGCGCCGTGGCGTGCGGAACCCAAGGCCAAGGCCAAAAGTGCGGCATTTTCCCAGTAACGACGGCCTCAAGACCAGGGAGACTGCTTCGGCGACGGCTGCATCACCGGCAACCCTAAACCCCAAACCCTAAACCATAAACCCTAAACCCTAACAGATTTGGGCCTGGAGCCTGCAAGCTGGTACCAGAACTTCAGCATTCGCTGAATGCGGCGAGGCGCCAAGATGAAGTGTGCCCAAGCACGCCCGGGGCCGTGGCTACGGCGAAGGGGCAATGGCAAGCCTACCAGGAACAGCTCAAGGCAAGGCGGTGTAATATAGAAGCCCAAATAATAACCAATATTATTGTTAGCGTTCCTTATTATAAATATACTATAAAGGAGCCCAAAACCCTATTCGAATTATTAAGGCCCCTACCTTACGTCAAGGAACACAGCATGTTTCCTGAAAGATGCAGAGACTGCAGCGGGAGCTCTTGGACTCCGAGCTCTTTAAGTTGCAAGTTTTGGGGCGATAATGCGGTTTAGGGGTTCAGGGTTTAGGGGTTTTGGGGTTTTGCTGTTTTGGGGTTTAGGCTTGAGGGTTTTGCCCCTCTTAGTGTGCAGTAGCTGATGAAGCCGCGGTATCAGTAGGATAGCCCCGAGGTGTGCACGTAAAGCCGCAATTGCAATCTACTTGCTGAATCCCCCGGCCTTTCATAACCCTAAACCCAGAACCCTATATTTGCAACTAAACTCAAAACCCTAAATTCATAAGTAAGCTCTATAAACCGTAAGCCAAGCTCTACACCGTAAGCCCTAAACGCTGATCGCTAAACCCTATAAACCCTATACTATAACCTAAGCCCTAAACTCTGATCCCTAAACCCTATACTATACCTTAAGCCCTAAACTCTGATCCCTAAGCCCTAAACCCTATACTATACCCTAAGCCCTAAACTCTGATCCCTAAGCCCTAAACCCTATACTACACCCTAAGCCCTAAACTCTGATCCTTCAAGCGCACCCCGAATGCGAGGAAGTCGCGCGACCTGCGACAGAATGAGATGCTGGTAACGCAGGGACAGGCCGGGTTTGGGTTTAGGGGCTTAGGGTTTAGGGTTCAGGGTTTAAGGATTTAGGGTTTGGGGATTTAGGGTTTAGGGGTTTTGGTGTTTAGGGGTTTTGGGGTTTAGGGATTTAGGGTTTAGGGTTTTAGGGGCGGCCTTTGCCCCAGATTTGGGGGGAAGGACCTGGACAGTAGATCCCTTGAGGGGGGGTTCCTTTGAAGCGCCTTATTATCAATATCAGAACCTGTTTACGACTTAGAAACCTTGGGTCTGTATAATTTGAGTTCTACATATGGATCCTAATATTTTGGGATTATAGGACCAAGAAATAAATCCCCAAAAGTTGGAAACCGCATCAAGGACGCATCGTGCTGGGATTCCCTATACATTACTCTTGAGGATTGAGGCTATTGGGCTTCCAACTCTAGGGCTTCTAAACCCTTCAACCCCTAAACCCTTAAAACCCTAAACCCTAAACCCTAAACCCTAAACCCCTCTAAACCCCTCTAAACCCCTAAACCCCTAAACCCTAAACCCTTCAACCCCTAAACCCTAAACCCTAAACCCCTAAACCCTAAACCCTATAGGAGTTCTACTTTCTAGATCCTCCCAGGGGTCTGGGTCTGGGTTCGGCTTTCTACATTAGCAGCTCTTGGGGCGGAGGGTAAAAGGGTGCCGGAAGAAGGGATCCTTTAAGGGTTCTGTTAAAGGGATCTGATAAGGGTTCTCTAAGGGTTCAGGGTTTAGGGTTTAGGGTTTAGGGTTTAGGATGATCAGGATGGTTCGGGGTTTAGGGTTTGTATAGAGGTCGGAGTAGTTTGTCATAGTGTTCGTCGGGGTACCTTGCTATTTACTCTACCGCGATATACCCCCAACACTCTATTCTGACGATAAGGCACCCTAAACCCTAAACCCTAAACCCTAAACCCTAAACCCTAGCCTATGTAATGCCTTCGGAGCTCCCGGTCTTCTTGACTTTCGCTATTGGCGCTTTGGGGCTGATAGCTGTGGGCTGAGATTCTGGGAGTTTCCGAAAAGAAGGGGTGCCATTTTTGTGGGGTCCCTGATAATACGGATCCTACTATTCAGGGTNNNNCCCCCCCCCCCCCCCCCCAGATAGTTGTTTTTCTGAGGGCGTTTCGTTTCAATCCGGTTTCGCCCGGAGGATGCGAGGTTGCAGGGCTATGGGGGCTCAGACAGTTAGGCCTTGCTTTGCTGGGTGCCAGATTTTGTCTCTGCCCGAACAGGTCCAACGTCAAGATTTTGGGGCTTCCTTATGGTGATCTTCGAACCGGGAATAAGCAGAGTACGATGATTGCTGACTTGGATGCGGATGGCCAGGGTGGTATAGTCGAGGAGCAGGTGATGCTGATGCTATATCGTTGATGACTAGTAGTCCAGGAGCAGGAAGCTGTGGATATATCTTACGATCGTAATGACTGTGATCACCAGCGTTGTGGTGGGGTAGTAGATGCCATAATAAGTCCACCATGGTTCACGTTCGGCACATGTTCTGGAAGTTTAACATAGGAGTCGCAGTTAACTAGTAGCAACATCCTTCTACTTCATAGATGCCAGGTCCTTTTTTACCCAATAATATCCACAAAAGCTTTTCAAGGCCTTTGCATTTAAAACATCATAGGGCCCTAGAAAGCCCCCAACTGCCAAACAACAAATGATTCGTAAAGCCCTTCTAGAATGCGAAGGTTAGCCAGAGCATGTTCGTCGTCCGCGAGGGCCTTTTCGACGTGGTGCTCCGACGGTCTGACGGACGTGAGGTATTACCGGCCCTGTTCCGGGGAAGGTAGGATGCCCTGGGTTTAGGGTTCCGGGTTCGGGCTTTAGGGTTTAGGGTTTAGGGTTTAGGGTTTAGGGTTTAGGGTCCGGGTTCGGGATTTTTGTACTTGCGTTGGGGATAGTAGTCTTGTAGGTTTTTATATGGAGATGAACATTGTGTACCAGCGTACCGGGACCCCGCCCTATATCCAGGGGCTCTAACATGCAGTCCGATGCTAGGAAAAGACATCATGAAATGGTGTGCCCTACACCGATTCAACTAGCAAGTTCGTGATCTACGACCCCGACTCAGAGTGAGAAGTGTGTTGGGGCTCATGGTGTTTATCAGCATACAAGAGAACGCCGTGGTTCCACCCGTAAGTACGTGGAAGCATCTGCTATGCAATCACTCCGGCAGGATCTAGGAATCGAGCTGTGCACGATACCTATGCCCTACGTATAGTCTCGATTGTAATTCCTTTTTGCGGTTTCCTTATAGGATCCTCAATCCTCAGTATAGAGTTGGTAAAATAAACAAGAAAAAGAAGCTACAATGGAGACTACAGGTAAACCCTAAGCACGAACATCGAAGCTTGAAAAACACATCGAAGCCTAAACCGCCTAAAAGCCCTAAACCCTTAAACCCTAAACCCTTAACCTAAACCCCTAAACCCTAAACCCCTAAACCCTAAACCCCTAAACCCCTAAACCCTAAACCCCTAAACCCTAAACCTTGATGCGCTCAGCTCAGCGCTGCCAGGTAACTGTGGGGCGCTCAGCGTTTGGTTGTGTCGGGCTTGGCATCTGCGATCTCAAAAAAGCCTCTGAGCATACACGGAACCGCTCCTTTCAAACCGCCGGTGTGTGAGTGTGTTTAGTTGTTTTTTTTTCGGGTTCTTCAGCCCCAAACCATACAGAATCGAGCCATGCGTCCATCTGAATCTTGGAATGTATGTGTGGGTAGCCCCAACATCTTGAATCCTCGCCCCTATACTTCTGCTTGCTAAGACTTCCCGAACCCTGCATGAACCTTAACTGTGGGGCCGTAGCCTCTAGTGCCGAAGCACTGTGAGCCTTACAAGCGCCCTACTCTTATGGTCTTGGAGGCCGAAACCCCCAAGCACCAACTGCTAAAGCTTAAGCCCGGAACCCAAAACCCTGAAGTCAGAACCTAATGTAGGGGCCTTAATAATTAGATTAGGGTTGTGGGGTCTATAATACTATAAGTTTATAAGCATAAGAAGGAGCCCCCAAAAATAGTCTAGGTAAGTATTTAGGCCCCTATATTTGCAGTAGCACCCATTTTTAGGAATCCTTCAGGCCCTATGGCCCTCAATTCCTTCAACCCCGAGCCCTGATGCCTTAAACCCTAAACCCTAAACCCTAAACCCTAAACCCAGGCGGTCCAGGTACCTCCAATCGTAAACCCTACACTTACAAGCCCGAAGCCTACACACTCTTAGCCCTACAAGCCCTAAAGCCCTAGATCTTGAACCCTAAACCCTACAAGCCCTCAGCCCTAAACCCTACAAACCCCAAACCCTAAACCCTACAAGCCCCAAACCCTAAACCCTACTGTTAGTTACAAAAGCCCATCCTACAAGCCCAAAAACCTAAACCCGACGGTTAGTTACAAAAGCCCATCCTACAAGCCCCAAAACCTAAACCCTCGTGTTAGTTACAACAGCCCATATCCTTAGGAGGCCCAAAGCCTTAGGAAGCCCAAGTACCTAACACTCGTATACTCTCCCAAATAGTGACCTACATCACTACTATCCGAAACCTAAGTCCCTGATTTTAGGGTCCTTCGGACCCTAAACCCTATAAACCCTAAACCCTAAACCCTAAACTCTAAACCCTAAACCCTAAACCCTAAACACTTGGGGATAGTTTTGGGAAGCCCAGACGGTCCAGGTTCGGCAGTATGGCCCCGGCAGTGTGATCGGAGAGCCTTCCCTTTGGACGGACAGGTGTGTTGTTGTTTAGGGTTTAGGGTTTAGGGTTTAGGGTTTAGGCTTTAGGGTTTAGGGTTTAGGGTTTAGGGTGTACATCATGATTCTTCATCCACTTCATGATTCTTACTGTTAATATTGTTGGATTAGTATTTTTTATTCGTATACCGCTGTTATTGGTTTTTGTTTTTATTATTCTCACTTTTTTTTGATTATCATCATTGTTCTTATCATCGATATCTGAATGATTGGTTGCTTATTTTTGTGTTCGTTTCATCTTCACTAATCCCTGCGCCCATGATTTTTCATTCCGTTCTTGGAGAGGCTCCCATAACGTTTCGGGCCTTAAGAGCTCGTGGCGTAGAGTTGATGGTCTGCCTATAGTCTCCATTGTAGCTTCTTTGGTTAACCCATTCTATGGTTAGGATCCTCTAATATCAGTCGGGTTAACCCCGACAGAAACGAACTACAATGGAGGCTCCCTATACTCTTTTGGATTTGGTGATGGAAGGCTCAAGGGTTCTCCGAGTTCAGGATTGAGGGTTTATTGCACAGAACCAGTTGCGGATGTAGGGTTTACTGGATTCACTGCGAACCCCACAGCTCAATTCCGTTACCGACGACTCCCCTCATCCCCTGTTGTTCTTCAAGGCTTCATGAGTAATATAGACGTTTGAAGCATGGTGGTATCTTCTGCAGCAACTGCTATCTTTGCCCTAAGGCTCAAAATAGCCTAAAAGCCTGATGTAGTATGGTCTTTGGGCCCAAAAGCCTTATAAATATGAGTCCTTAGAGCCTTAGGGTCACTTTACCAAGTACCGTGCACCTGAAGGACGAGCCGCGTGCTGCGAGCATCGTCGCGAGAAGTGCCTCCAGGACCTATGTAGGGGTTTTTAATAATTACATTAGGCTTATAGGGTGCATCATAGACCAGTATAGGGTTGCATAGCGACTAACTATCATAGAAAATTCTCCATATTGGGTTTGTGGCTTTGAAAAATTTGGTGCTTTGAGGGTTTTTTGCTCACTGTAGGGTTCTAGATTCAGGCCCGTGGGACTCTTAGCTCTTCGAGTTTGCAGTTTGGTGCCTTGGGGCTCTAACTCTAGGGCTTTGAGGTTTGAGGCTCAATCGACTTCAGTGTTAGGGAGCTTAGGGTTTGGGTTTGGGATAATTAAGATTTGGGCCTGGTGGTTCTGACATTTTGCGTTTTCGGCTAAGCCCTAAAGCCCCGAAACTTGGAATCCTGAGCCCAAAACCCTAACCCCTAAAGCACTTGAAGCAGGGGGTTCAGGCTTGAAGCCCGTCCCAGGCATCTGCTGCCAAGAACTTGTAGGTTGAGAGGTTTAGGGTGCAGGGCTTTGGGGGCTAAAGTCGGCTAAAGGTTTAGGGTCTGCTGCTGTATGGCTGAGGCTTAGTTTAGGTTAACGGGCTTCGAGGGTATTTTGTTTAAGGAGTCGGCGTCGGTTGTCAGACTCCGGATTTTGTGAAGCCACGGTTTAGGGTTTAGAGTTTAGGGTTCGGGGTTTAGGGTTTAGGGTTCAGGGTTTAGGGTTTAGGGTTCAGGGTGTGGGGCTTAGGGTCGCTGAATCGAGACTCTCAAGCCCTCAAGGGTTTTACTTGCAAACCATCCGGAGCCCTTCTGGCAACCCGAAATGCTTCTCCTCCACACCAAAAAGGGCTCACCCTAAACCCTAAAGCTCAAACCCGGAACCCTGAACCCTAAACCCTAAACCGGTTTAGGGTTTAGGGTTTGGGGTTTAGGGTCTAAGAAAAACCCCTAAACCTCAAACCCGAAACCCTAAAAGCCCGAAGCCTCAAAGCCTTCGGGCCACCAAGGCCCAACGCCCTCAAGGCCACTGAGCCCGCAGCCCCGAAACCACAATAGGAAAGGATATAATATCGGGGCCTTAGTAATTACCTACCCTAAGGCTCCTGGACCCCCATAGTGAAAGCCCAAACCTTAGCCCCCAAAGCCCAAACCTTCCCCTAGAAAGCCCATAACAGCAATAAGAGCCTTAGGGTAGGGGCTCCTTATTACAATCATAGTATAATGGGCCGCAAAACCCCATTCGAATCATTAAGGCACCTGCGTTGTAAGTTAACCAGCGACCCCTGTCTGCACACCCTCAAACACTTACATTTCTTTGCGTTGCTCTACCCTTACTGCTCGTTTCATACTAATGTCCAAAATCTGTTATCCGCATAAAGACCCTAATCAAACCGCTAAGCAGAGATCATCAACTTGTAAACCTGAACCCCTATATATATATACATATATATAT